GTAACGAAAGAGCCTGTAACCTAGTGGTTATAAGAGCCTCAGTAGCACCATAGGTCCTGGGTTCGACTCCCAATGGGAGTGAATTTTCCAGGATTTAACGGCTTTGTGCTTTCAGTGGTAGGCGACGTAACCGTCGACAGTGAGGCGCCTGTGGTGACTTCGTCAATCTCCAGGATGGATTTGCTGGCCCAATCTTCGAAGATGCTCATAGGGATAGGGTTTGCGTGCGTGTGTTAAGTTGAACCATTCCAATAGTTTGAGGTATAAAATGAGCCAAAAAATTATTTAGGAGATTAATTGCTCAAGTGAAATAGTTTGGGACTGTTTTCGTTTCCAAATAAGCCAAGCTGATCATTTTGGTATTTATGGAGTATAATTAGATCGACTTCTCTTTCTTCCGACTCCCTCTAATCACAAATAAATGGTGTTTTAGATAACGGCACAGTCACGAGGACACCTTTTTATTTCTAATTACTAGTATGAAACCTATAAAAAAAGATGCAAGAAAGTTATAGTACATTGAAACTATGTTTAAGGTAACAAAAGTAGCCATTCTGTTTTCAAAAAATAAATTTGAAATAGTCAATATTATTGTTATAAATAAGTAAAAAAAGTAAGTGACATTTTGAAATGCCAGCAGTCAAATACATTTAAATTAAATTACTCCATCCATTTAAAAATAAACGATATCGATTTTAGTGTTCAATCATTCGTCTTATTTAAAATTTTAGTGCAAATATAAAAAAGTATAAACCACGCTTAAAGTACGTCTGCTATAAAACAAGTTATAATGACACTTATTTTTTTTTAATAAAACGGAGCATCAAATGTTATGTCGAAAATCAACCACGTCGAATGTCTTAAAAGTTGATGTACATTTCGACATCATTAGGAAACAGTAAAAAAATCATTAGGAGAGATGGACTGATTGGGGTCAGAAATCAACAGTGATGTTGGTGATCACAACTGTTTAGGCCGAGCATCCGCGAGGCGATCGACCGTACGGGCAATCAGCCATGCTGTTGCTGGTGGTTGTCGGAATCGCTGGGGAATCGCTGGATGCGGCCACACAAGCTTAGCCTTTGTCTTCCATCCCCACTTCTGCACCACTCCATTCCCTTCCATTCTGATCCTCTTATTATTCCTCTCTCTCCTCTTCTATTACGTCTGTCCCATAATAATTGTATTTCAAATCCTAAAATAATTATCACAATAGAGTACTAATTGTTCCATTAATCACTTGTAATTCAATTTTTTTTCCCATTTTACCCTCAACCACCCTTCCACTCTCAGCTATAAGCCATTTAATAAGGGACATCATAGTATTTCTTCTTAAACCTTAATATATTACTAAACAACCTAGAATTACAATTTATATAGGACAGAGGTAGTATCTGATACTTATGGTATGGATGTGTGTCACCACCGGTTAGTTGTGGAGCCAAAAAGATTTTTATGTCCAGATAAATTTCGATATAACTAGTAGTGCTATTTGCTATAGAAATTTCAAACCATCAATTTAATCATTAACATTAAAATTTAACGGAGCTTTCGTCGATGAGCCCGAGCGGCTGTCCGGACTAGCCAGACGGTGACTCCGCCACTACCACCAGCCGATCTGATCGATCTGCCATTAATATTTCTTTTGGTACACCTCAAAAGAGAATAACAAGTATTCGTTTTCATTTAAAAGGAAAAAAACTTGGTACAATTTTTAAGAAAAAATCGGAAAAAAAATCTTACGATCGCACGATTAATTATAAGAAACGGGAAAAGAAAACACGAGGAAGAAAAAAGCACTGGTCGATCTGCCATTAACTCCTGGAGCTTTTGGGTTGTTGGCGGATGTGGCTTCATCTTCTGCTGCTGCTTCTTCTTCTTCTTCAGCTGCGAAGTGCAGTGGCCCCACATGCAGTAGAAGGAGGAACAGTGGTACAGTACTACAGTGTAGCTGTGTAGTGGCTGCTGCTAGCTAATCTGAATGTCGAAAGGGAAAAAAAAAAGGGTCATGGCAGTAGTCCACCCAACGCTATGGATAGGTAGACTGTTGTTGTTAATGGCTACTTCGAGGAGGAGGAGGAAGAGGACGACGACGATGATGACAACTGCCAGCGGCTCATCCAACTAGAACTGAACGAGAACTGAACTTTTTAGACCGGTTCGAGAACACAAACCAGTCATCAATTATGGCAAAATTGCATGACCATTCTAATTATCATCTTAGTTTTGAGATTTCACCTTATAACCTATTTTATTGCAAGAACTCACCCACCCAACGTTATCCAGTCGAAATTGTTTCCTTTGCGCATATGAGAAGTTAATTTGTCGGCCCACTTTAACGCTCGGTCGCTCCGCCTTCGGGGGCGACGCGGGCAGCGAAACAGGCCGCGCCGCTCCCGACCCCCTCCTCCCCTCCCCCACCTCGCCGCTGCCCGAGCCACCGCCGGCAAAGCCAGGCGGCTGCAAGGACGGCGGCGGCGGGGCTCTCTTCCCTCGCTCGCAGTCAAGCTGGTTAGGGCGCCGGCAAGACGGAGCTCAGGGCAAGGCGCCGGCGCCGAGGAGAAACCGACGGCGGCGTCCAGATCCGGCGCTGGGATGCATGGATCCGACCCCCCCCCCCCATGGCTGGATTTGTTGCTCCGGGCGGCGGACTGCCGGGGACGGCGAGTGGGCGGCGCGGAGGTGGCAGTGTCGGTGGCTGGAGTGGCGGCGTGGCGGAGGAGGCAGCGGCATGGCCATGTCTGCAGTGGCAGGCGGTGGCCGTGGCCAGATCTGATCGGTCGGCTGGCGCTGGAGGTGGCTGCGGTGGCGGCGGCGGCTGCGGTGCCGGCGGCGTCTGCGGTGGCTGGTGACGACGGCGACAGCTGAGGCAGCTGCTACGGCGGTTGGCGACGGCGACGACTGCGCTGGCTGGTGGCGACGGTGACGGCTGAGGCAGCTGCTGCGGTGGTTGGCGAAGACAGCGACGGTCGAGGCAGCCGCGGCAGGGACCATGCGGCAGCGGCTCAAGCAGCCGCACCTGTCGTGGCGGCTGCACGCGGTGTCGGCCTGCTGCGGCGGGAGACCGGATCCCCTCCGTTGAACTGCTGTGGCGGTTGGCGACGAGGCGGCGGCTTGCGGCGACAACGGCTGGCTACGGACAGTTGGAGACGGCGGCTGGCTCGTAGCTGCCGCGGCTGTGGAGGCAGCGTCTGGCGGCCGGGGACATTGGCGGATGCGACAACGTCTGGCGGCGTCGTATAGATGATCGACGGCGGCAGCAAGTGGAGGCGTGACGGTGGGAGGCATGGCGGTCTTCGACGGCTAGCCAGGGGCGTGGAAGACGAGCGCACCTGGACGGCGCAGCAGCGATCGGAGGAGGGTCGGGGGTCAGCTTGGCACAGAGAGTCGCAGCCGATGACAGGAGACCGGATTGGCGCGAGAGGCGCGTCCGGTGGAGGAGGCCGGCACGGCGCGAGAGGCGCTGCCGACGGCGACGGAGGACGGCTTGGCGCGAGAGGCGCGGCCGATGGAGGGAGGCCGGATTGGCGCGAGAGGTGCATCCGGTGGAGGAGGCCGGCTTGGCGCGAGAGGCGTAGCCGACGGTGGGGGAGGTGACCTCGGTGTGAGGAGGAGCTGCCGGTGGGTGTGGTGCGGTCTTCGACGCACCAAGGCTGACCGGCGAGGGACGCCGGTGCAGGGGTCCCACATGTCGGCAGAGCTTGAGTGATGGTGGAGCATCGGTGCGTCAGCCGTGGATTCGCAGGTGGTGAGCGGCAGGTGAAAACCCAGCTCGGCTGTAGCTGAACCGACAATGATGGTTCATTCCCCCTCCTGAGGGCGTTGTCGTGCTGTCTCACCCCTCAAGGGCGGTTGTCTGGCAAAAGCCCAGTCTTGACTTCTTTGAGCCCTGACGGATGGCGGCGGCGGTTCTTCCGTCGCTTCTCTTCCTGAAGACATCATTTTGGCATCCTCTAGGGGGCGATCTCGTCTATGTTCCTTTGTTGGTCTAGCGGCGGTCGGTCACGCTTAGCGGCGGCCGGTTCGGTGCTAGCCTTCTCCCGGGTGTGTGTGTGTGTTGGCGCTGTCGGTGTGTGGGCGGTGGTATTTTTTTTCTTTTTGCTGGTTATGATCCTCCAGGGTTGTAATCTTGTAATTTTTTCCTGCTCTATCAATAGAACTTCGCACCGTCTCGTGCGAGTCGTTCAAAAAAGAAGTTAATTTGTCCCATTTCTTTTGACGTAGATTCGCAGCGGGTCATATCACCTAGGTTAGGCCCGTCCAGTGTGCCTATAAGGTGAGCCCGACTCGAGAGAGCTCTTAGGCTATTTTTTTTGACTCGATATTAGGTGAAGGACTTGCTTGCTATGAGTTGTAAGCAACATCATTCTTAGGTGATGACAAGTTCTAGTTGGACTCATCACATAACCACGCTGGACAAGCTTGACCTGCCTGATATGGCCCTCGTGGATCGACATTAGAAGAAACTAGTAATCGCAATGCACGTTTCCCACATTAGCTATAGTGATAATATAAAACACTTAAATTTTTTTGCACTTTTCATGTAATATATGTCACACAAAATATACAAACATACTAAAAGTTATTATAGTAACTTAACATACTCCTTTAAACACTAAAAAAAATGCAAAGCAGCTAACAATACCAACCATAATTTGCCATAGCTTGATAAAAACTTGAAAAGCTCAAAGCAAGATATTTTTCTTAGTGCTATTGAATTAAACCCCAGTACCCACAGCATACAATATCTAATACTCCCTCTGTCTCATTTTAAGTGCAACCATGATTTTTCGTGCCCAACTTTAATCGTTCGTATTATTTGAGAATTTTTTGAAAAAAAATAAAAACATAAGTCACACATAATTTCATGTTTTATCATCTCATAATAATAAAAATACTAATTATAAAAAAATTTCAAATAAGACATACGATCCAAGTTGGGCACGGAAACTCATGGTTACACTTAAAATGGAGCGGAGGGAGTAAAAAAGGACTTTATGTTTTCTCCAACAATACTTCAAATATACCCCTCATGGCCAGCAATTAAAAATAGCATTTACATGATCACCAATGAGATGTATATAGGTCCTACAGGTCCTACCGTGTGTCCACATAAGTTCATGTGGTCTACAAAACACAAATTTACATCCATTTCACTTGCAGGAAATGGTCATCACATAATTCCAAAAAAAAATATTGTTCATAGTTGCCTTAATTGAAGTAAAAAGTAGATAGCAAGTGTGAACATTTCAGAAACACTAACAGTTGTCAAAACGCCTATATATTTTCCTTCACCACAATATTAATCTAAAGAGGTCATATTGCTAAACTATGCACACACCTACAGTTGAAGTGGCAGCCACGAAATGACCTAACAATCTTGAAATCTGGAAACCAATATATTTCATGGAATTCCCTCAAGGAAAGGTTTCCTTTGTTAGATTGGAAAAAAGGAAACATCTCAAATCAGGGAAATGCATCATCTGAAATTGGAATAGTGCATACCTTTTCAAGATTCAATGTAATCCTGGAGTCCACAGCCACACTCTTTTTCTTGTGAAGCTACAAATAAATAATATATCCACAATGATGATGAAAAGGATTTAAAACATGGATAGCAGTACTGGTTTAAAAAAACATGAAAAGTACCTTACAATCTGAAAGCTCGAGAAGACATTAGCATCAAGCATCTTCCTGAGAAACCAAATAATCTTTTAGCCCCATCAAATTTTTCAAGCAAACTACGTATATCCAAATAAAAAGAATAACAAACCGGCTAAGCAAGCATATGCTGATAGATAAAATTTATGAATTACATCGTTAGTAATTAGAAGTCATCAGCACAATGCAAATATTCAAAATTCCAAAAAACACATCTTTACTTGAAATTTTCAGGGAAGAAATAAGGAGCATCAAAATCCTTGCTTATAACTTGCAGAATATACACTGTGGATTCAACCGATGCACTTTTTAAGGAAATGAAGCCATGGTTCCATTTTCCTGAGCTCCAAAATTGATCATTGGTATATATAAAGAGGATATTCACTTAATATGAAGCAATGGTCAAAATTTACTTGTTTTTTATAGGTGAGGTCCCAAGTGTCCTCTAATAGATGTTACCAAAAGGGACTCCAGAAAAACAACAGCTTCATGACAGAACTTCTTAGGTTCTTGAGTAGCCTGCAATTAAAACTTTGTGCAGAAAATGACTATTAGCAACTGTGAAAGAAGAGAAGAAAAAAAAAGGAAAATCGTGTTTGCTCAAGTTGCAGAACATACCACTGGCACCATGGAACATAAGAAAGTACCAACAGCTACATCTCAAAGAGATTGTATGGGCAAGGCATCTAATATTTACACATTTGTTCCTGCTATACCTGCACATTGGCTGAATTTCCCTTTTTCTTCTTTGCATTGGAAGAAGGGTTTGATCCTCAAAGCAGAAACATTGTATCTTACTGAAATAAATTGCAGCCTTCACGATGAAAGGAAAAAGGTTGTAAACTCAAAACATTAGGAATCTGATTACTCTTAGCTTAATTGCCACAGTGATACACCTCAATTTAATTTTAATCAGCAACATAAATAGCATGATATAGTGAAGTCACATGAGTCCTTGCCAATATATTTCCAAATCTATACAAGGTTAACAGTTAAAGGTCTAGGGTAGCTTTTTGGCTCTTTAGTACATCAACCAATTATAAATTTCAATCAGAATATACCACCAATGCCACACAAATGAGCTAACCCCATGGGCAATATTTCAGCTCAAAGGAAAAGTAAAATAACGATAGGGAATGAACTATATACATTGACATATTATGAACTTTACCATGGCCGTCATGATATTAACAAATGGTACCTAAATACATGGACAACTCCTTTATGATATGAAGCATCCAACCTTGGACTCTGGGATCATCACAACATACCTGCAGAAAGAACAAATAAGTTAGTAATGGTCATGATTGTTTGCACATATGTACATGTAACATTCACTTACATTCCAGCATTTTTTTACTCCTGCTACAACAGAAGGTGCATCTTTCAACTCCAATACATTGCAAATACTGATCACAGAACATTAATACCAGAACCCCAATACTACATTTCAACTATATTCTATTGAAGAAAATGTACAGTACCAGTAAGACAACCACTTGCATTGCTGGTGGCTCCTGGATCTTGTGTAAAGTATTGAATGCTAGCTGTCTTGAATTCACTTTGGCGACACCCCCTTCCTGAGCAGGACAAAAACCTGCACATTTTCATGTTTTTCAATTGACACAGTGGCACAAAGGGCATTTTCAACAAAGTATGAACTTTATACTCCGTTACGCATGTTTACAAAGTTATACTTAGTTTCTTACAGAAAAGTAGCTTAGCAGAGTATGCATGTGAAAACCATTCAAAAATGGGATTGAATTTTTCAACTTCAAAGAACTATACACTTCTGCTGACAAGAGGAATTTTTTTTAGTTATGCATTATAAACAAATGATATGACCTGTGTGTCAGTTGAAACCCCCCCCCCCCCCCTTCCTAGCAAGTTCATGCAAATCAGTTAACATGTAAGGTCAGAAGTAAGAAATTTAGTGTCCTATATAGGTCTTGTTGCCCATGTTCATATTTCCTCAAAAAGGATTTAATAAATTACTCTCAATGGCCTTCATATAATTCTGTTGAGCCTAACATGAAACCACTCAATCACCGGTCCACAGATTGACATACATTTCACGGGTAGAAGAAATTTTCATTGGACATTCAAATTAGTCTTTACCTCAATGCTTTCACTTCTAGTGCTAATAGGAAAAAAAAAGTCATACCTTCCAGGAGAATGTGGGTGCTGAAGTTGATTTGAAAATGGGAAGCAGGGTGCAGGACGATGGCCAGATTCCAAATGGAGCCAAGAGTGGATGAAATCAGGGCAGTGGTGTTCCAAGGGCGTCAGTGGCAAATACAGGATAGAAATAGAGGGTAGGTTCGACCTAAAAGAACCAAGTTAATTTATGGGTTTGTATTTATATCTTAAAAAGAAAACAATAGAAACAACATGCAGAGTCTTTTTTGACACTATATTCTAACCAATTAAATTTATCTAACCAATTCTTTTGAAATGATCTTATAACCTTACCAACAAATATACCATCCTTATTTCATCTCTCATTTCGTGACAAAACTTACCTATTGTTATTCTTATTTTGTGCACAATCAGCAAAAATTCCATTCTGTTCTCATCAGTTTGATTGGTACTACTTGAATTGCTTGCATAATAATTTAACAACATTGTTTTCTTCTCCATCGAAAATCTACGAATAAATCAAAACTATGAATCGCGAAGCTCAATTCTTATAAATCACATCATCTAGATGCATTACTGAAACAGAGACGAAGAGTATGAACACCGGCACCGGGCTAGGACTCACCGCTTGCTCTGCTAGCTGCTGCTGCTTGCCCCTCGTCGTCTGATGCCCTTCATGGAGGGATGGCCTGATCTGCTAGCTCCTCGCCCTCACCTCCTGCTGCTCGCTCCTCGTCGCCCGGTTGCCGCGTCTGCTCGTCACTACGGCGCTGCGCCACAACGCTGCAGCCTGCCACAACTGCTTGCCACATTAGCTATGTACTACTACAAATTAATATGTGAAATGAGGATGACCTCGGCTCCGTTGAGCGCAGCGGTGGACTGCAGTGGCGTCGCCGGATGGGAAGACCTCAGCTTCGAGGGCAGGGGAAGAGGGGGGGGGGGCCTCGGCTCCGGCGACGGACTGGGGAAGACCAGGGCTCCGGCGGCGGCAGCAATACACGCGAGGAGGAGCGTGGAGCACGGCTCCAGCGGTAGCTGGAGAAGAACTCGTCTCCAGGGGGGTGGGGGGGGGGGGCAGCGGTGCTGTGCGATAGTGGCGGAGACGGAAGGGGACGACCTCGGCTCCGACGGCGACTGGAGATGACGTCGTATGGGGAAGACCACGGCTCCAGCACAGCAGCAGTACACGCGAGGAGGAGGAGCGAGGAGCACGACTCCGGAGGCGGATGGAGAAGAACTTGGCTCTGGCGGCGGTAGCGGTGGAGTCGCGCATATAGAGGGTGAGGCGTAGTCTTCGCACGGTCTTTGCGCGTAGAGGGAGAAATTTCTGCGGTGGAGATGGAGATGGTTAAATCGCGGAGGACGGTATGGATCAGCGATCTACAGATGGACGGTAGGGATTACATCTATCAACATGTAGGATTGGAGGGAGGTAACTCATCCTTTTTATATTAGTATAGATATAGATTAGCCCAATCAATGACTCATCCGCACGGGAAGGGGGAAGACCAATTTTATCCAGGTAGCGTTCGGCGGGTAGGATTTTTGCTGAAAATAAAATATAATAAGTATAATCTTAAAACAAGGTTTATAATTAGGATCGTTTATACAATTTTACCTTTAACCAAACTAAATTTTATAACTTCAGAAAAATATAACTGGATTTTTGCCGAGTCAAACAGTTGACGATTTTTGCGAGAAAAAGAAAAGGTTTAACCCTGTTTTGGCTTGAGAACAGTTTGGTGAACCCTGTCTCTGAGACTGTAGCCTGTAGGCTACTTCGGGGTAGGATCACAACGGGCATTTGGTGTACTGCCTCTGTTTCATATTATAAGTCATTTTGATTTTTTTTGTCAATTTTTTAAATTTTGATTGGGTTTATTAGAAAATTTTGGCAACATTTGAAACTTTATTTAATCTAACATTGAATATATTTTAATAATATATTTATTTCGTGTTAGGAATACCATTACATTTTTCATAAACTTGATCAAACATAAAAGTTTTACTAAGAAAAAAGTCAAAACGAATTATAATATAAAACGAAAGGAACATGTATTTGTATTTTACTTATGTGCATGATACTCTGATTAATTATCGCCTACGACATTATGCTGTATTGATACTAGACAATAACACGTGGAGATGGAATTGATGGAGCACGACGGTATATACTGTACGACGGTATATTATCTCCTACGACATTTCAAATGGTTTTTAAATTGATGGAGTACTCAATTGTAAGATGAAAAGGCTGAAAGCGTTTACTGATCGTGAATCATGTGGCAAATCCATTTTCCAATTAAAAACCATTTGAAAAAAGAAAAGGCGGTTGGAACAGATGGACGAGACGCTGTTGGAAGACGACGGGATTGTTCAGAGTTGTGGGATTCACCTCCTCTGTTCGCTGTGCTTGCTCTGTTCGAGAGGAATGTGGTCAGCAACATAGCACAGCACCTGACAGGCTGACATGCTTCTTTATACTTCTTTATATTATACATGTAGAAAATAGGGTGACATATTAGCACATAATTAATTAAGTATTACTTAAAAAGTAAATTAATGTGGTTTTTAAAGCAAATTTTTTATAGAATACATACCGTTTAGTAATTTGGGAAGCGTACACGTAAAAAAGAGAAAGGTACGGTTAAGACCTATTACTATCAAAGATAGCTCAATTCCAGGGTTGGTATATAGCTGATCCTCAAAGTGCATTTTCCGTTTTATATGTTTGAGAGGAGAGGAAAAGATAAGATTGAGAATATACGCAAAACGAGATGAGCCATTAGTGCATGGTTAATTGAGTATTAACTATTTTAAATTGCAAAAATAGATTAATATGATTTTTAAAGCAACTTTCCTATTAAAAAGTTTTAAAAAACATACCATTTAATAGTTCAGGAAGTGTGCACGTGACAAACGAGAGAGAAATCTTCTCTTTCACCTGCTGCCGAACGCAGTTACAAGAGGTGCAATTTCAACTTTGGTGTGTTTGGATAATGTGAAATGAGGGGTGGGATTGAGATTGGGAAATAAATAAAATGTTAGGATTAAATGGGTGAGAGAGAATGAATGGTTAGGATTTAAGATGGGTAGGAAATCATTTGCCTTAGACATTTGCCAAACACTGCCTTACTGGAATAAGAATTTTGAAGTAGAAGCTCTCTGTATCGACCGTCGGCCGGCCAGGATAAGCCATCCTAGCTCAAGCTGTCAAGTGATTGGGCGAGGCTAGAAGGCCCAGCAACCCTGCCAGTCAACTGGGCCGATAAATTCTGCTTAGACATAATTGTGTATCTGTGCTCAAAGTCTAAAATAGAAAGTACTCCTATAATGTTTTCAAGGGAAGATGCATGCCCAAATGACCAAAATGGGCTGATGAAATTCAATGAACTAGCAGTATTTTAAATTCAGTTTTCAAGTTGTGGTGTGGCACATCCATTTTAAATCCTTTTTTTTTACCTACCTCACCACTCAACCTTTTTGCCCTCAGGCCTGCACCAGGTGTGGCTGCTGGCCTGCTACCCCAAATCATGTCTTCCTTTGCTTCCATTGCAATGCAAGTCACACACACACACACACACATGGCACATTGCTCATTGATCTTAGCTATCTCCTTAGCCATGGCATCATTGTATTTGCAGACTCTTGCAGGGTATAAAAACCCTTGTTTACTCTCTGCGACTGCACCATCTCCATGACAGCTTAGTTAGTTTCTCTGGTTTGCTATATAGATTTAGACACAGATGGCGTGCTTATCCTTGCTCTCCGGCGTTCATCCCCTACCACTACTCCTGCTCATTACTCTCTTAGGTACTCCTTCGTTCTAGAATAAGTTTACTTTTCAACCCTCCGATTTATCATAAATAAATTTATTTTTAGTCATTATTATATTGGAGTTTGTAAAATTAGGAGATGGATACATTAAGAGTAGATAAAGCAAAAAATAATTGTATCAGGATTTGATAAAGTGAAGATATTTTAGTCTTTTAGGTTTTAATTGATATGTGGAGAATAGGAAAATTGAACTTATTGTAAAACGGAGGAAGTAGATCACATCCATGGCTTTTGTATATTAAATTAGTTCCATTAAAATCTACAATAAAATATGTCTGATTTATTTGAAACTGAAATTGCTAGCTATTTTTATAAACTCTGTTAAAGAGAGAGAATAAAACCTACGTTCTTTTAATATGAAATGGATACCGTAAATCACACCCACCTACGTTCTTTTTCTTTTGGCAAAATTTACTTTTCAGCATTGGTAATTTCCATGAATTTTGTTGTGCTGCTGTGGATGATGATCAGGACCGGTGGCGCTCGTGCGCGGCGTCACCTTCCGCGTGGTGAACAAGTGCCCGTTCCCGGTGTGGCCGGCGGCGGCGCCCAACGCCGGCCACCCGGTGCTCGCCGGCGGCGGCTTCCTCCTCCCGCCGGGCCAGTCCAGGCGCGTCAGCGCGCCGCCCACCTGGAACGGCCGCTTCTGGGGCCGCACCGGCTGCAACTTCACCTCCACCGCCACCAACCACCACGGCAACGCCGCCGCGTCCTGCCTCACCGGCGACTGCGGCGGCCGCCTCGCGTGCAACGGCACCGCCGGCGCCCCTCCGGCCACCCTCGTCGAGGTGGACCTCCACGAGGACCAGAGCAAGGGGAGCTCCTACGACGTCAGCCTCGTCGACGGCTACAACCTGCCGGTGGCCGTGTGGACGAAGCCCCCCACCCCCGGCGCCGCCGCCGCCGATCGCAAGTGCGTCATCCCCGGCTGCGCCAAGAACGTCAACGCGGTGTGCCCGCCGGAGCTGCAGGTGACGGCGGCGGCGGCGGTGGTGGCGTGCAAGAGCGCGTGCGTGGCGTTCGGGACGGACGCGTTCTGCTGCCGCGGCGCGCACGGCACGGCGGAGACGTGCCGCGGCAGCGCGTACTCGCGGGTGTTCCGGGACGCGTGCCCGGCGTACGTCAGCTACCCGTACGACACGGCGGCGGCGAGGTGCTACGCGGAGGTGTACGTGCTCACATTCTGTCCGTCCAGATGGGGCGCGGGGGCAGATCGTGTGGCCCAGGCTTGACGGATATGATGTGAGACGTATCGAGTAGACGAGTAACACTCCGGCATGCGTGTATCTAAGTAGGAGTAGTATGTACTATATACGGAGTATGTATTTATACGTGTACTATTACGTATTTACATTCATTATCGGGCGAACACTTTCGTTATAGGGTTAATTAAGTGCTTCCTCAGTTTTAAAATATAAATATTTTTAGCTACAAAATCTAAATAAATAATTATCTATAGATACATAGCTAAAATGCTCATATTTTAGGACGAATGTAATAAGTTGTTAAAGTTCAGTAGTTCTCTGTAAAAAGAATATCACGTACGTACACATGGCATTTCATAGTCGCATGCATAGTAGAATTAAAATGCCTATTATATCCTCACCTATACCATAGAAAAAATAAAGGGAAAAAAAAGCTTGGTACATTACCATGCAATTAATTAAGTAATTACTATAACGAATTAAAACACTGGATTTGATAGATTTCTTATGGAACTTATATAAATATTGTCTACATCAACTTTTATATTGACTAGTTAGATGCCCGTGCGTTGCAACGGGTAAAAGTTATAAACCAATTTAAAAGCACACAGTAAGATAATGTTAAATAATTATTAAGTGTAATTCCTTTATAATAAAAATTTTAATATAGCACGAATAATAATTATATCACATGTTTATAGTTTTCATATGGTAGTAATACAAATCTACAAACAACGAAAGTTGGTGAATAAAATAGCATGTGAGTTGTATCAGAAAATAAAAACATTTGAAGCTAATAAAGTTCACGGGTTCACGAACAACATTCGGGTGAAAATACTTGTAGTTTTGAATTTGATAATCTGATCGAAAAAATAGTTAACACCAAAATCCTTTCCCAAAACCATGAGCTAGACGATTACTCTTGCTAACTCCAACTATACAATACACCATTTTCTGGAACTAAATATTGACACTACCATCCTTTCACAAATTAATAAAAACTCTACGTATTGACACTACCATCCTTTCACAAAATAATAAAAACTATACATAAAACATGAGGTTGATTGCTTTTCATAATTCCATCTATACTATACACCATTTTCTGGAACTCAATGCTCATTCGTTTACTTCTTCCGGATGCTTCTCACTGGTCAATATGAAATATGTTATACTTGACCAATATCGTCTGAATATCGAGCACCTTGTCTTCATCAGCTTTATTGAGATGGTTAAGCTAGCAGTCAGCAGTGAATTCTCAGATAAAACAACAATTAAGAGCTAAACACCAATAGAAAATCAGAAAGTTCTATACTACTTCATACTTCAGAATGAATTAAAAAAACTTCAAATTTTCAACCAGCAAGCTTAATGCTGACTTGAATGACAATAAAGGGATATCATCTTTAAAAGTTTTGTTGTTATGAAAACAGGGAAATGAATTTCTAGATTAACTTGCAGTACAATCACATCCAAATTTATTAAATAACATCCGCAAGAGTAGTTGGCCTGAATTTAAGATTAAATTAAAATACAGTTAAAACTTAGGACAAATATGAGTGGCACAAATATGAAAAAGAGCTCGAGTTGATCACGTAATTTTACCTTTCTATTTGCCTATAGGACCACAATTTACAAAGATTCATACATGCAAAAGTGGCTATGAAAGAGGCCATGCTAGCTAGGTAAATCCTACTCGTAAATGTTAATTTGCAAACACTGAATACCTTGTTTCATCTCCAAGGGAATATCAATGCCACACATTCATATGCATTTTGCACTAAAAAAGATCTAAAATTCAGAGGCAATGCACCGACACCAACAAAGAATGTTTAAATAAATAGATAAAAGAACGAAGTGTTTATAGTAGCACCTTTGCAGCATAAGGATCACATTCACATACATTGGGTTTTGCATAGCAAGCATAGAGTGCATGCACCCAGAAAGAAATATTGAGGGGAACATGAAGAGGCTTCCTTGAGGTATAGATATTGTCTATAGCTGGTGCCTGGAGGACGAGAGGAACTACCAATCTGCAAGGCAAACATATTGGTAAAAAGACAATTTTCCATCAGATATATGATTCTCTAATTTTGATTCAAGCAAATGGATTCTCTAACAATGGACATAAAATTGAATTTGTGTATCACATATGGTTCCCCTGAAGATACATATAATATTTCTTGAATAAACAACAGATGGCTATGTGGGATAATTTTCTCTATACAAAATAGTTTTTGACCTCTAGGCTCTAATATTACCAATACGTAAAGCATTTTAAAGCACCAAAATAACTGTAAGAGAAATCGCATGTGCATGTGCAGACCTATTTGTGCAGAGGAACAAACACCACCTAAAAAGAATCAACAAGTAGCCGACAATGTTCAGTAGGAACTATTTTATACTCCCTCCATCCCAAAATATTTGACGCCGTTGACTTTTTTAAAAATGTTTGACCGTTCGTCTTATTAAAAAATTTTAGTAATTATTAATTCTTTTCCTATCATTTGATTTATTGTTAAATATACTTTTATGTATACATATAGTTTTACACATTTCATAAAAGTTTTTGAATAAGACGAACGGTCAAACATGTTTAAAAAAGTCAACGGCGTCAAACATTTAGGAAAGGAGGGAGTAATAAACATGAATAGCAAGTCGATCATAAAGTTGAGTGATTCTTTATCTTGGTTATAATCTGAAATTCCGAACTGTGATCTTCTCCCAAACAATATGCTTACGTGTTCACTTTCATTTGGTGGCACTATTCTGCTGCAGCAGTTCAGCAAAAATAGGAAACCTCGGCAAATAGCAATTTCAGAATCACTGCATTATAGCCAATAGCAGTCATCTGATCATGCACACGACACATGACTGGATATTTGCACATATGGTTTATATTGTGATCATGGATTATTTAATTAAAGTAATCAGAAAACAATGGTTTCAAACACATGACTGGAAATTGACTGCAACTTAAGCCCAGTTTTTGCACCAATTAAGCACTGCATCCAACTCAGGGCCAGTCAGGACACAATTTACCCAATAAAACTCAAATAATGACTTGACACAACCAAATGACAGGAAAAAATGGAAGAATATTTGACTCATAAAACTCAAATAATGTTGCCGCCTCGTAAGATAAAAATACCGTAACTCTAATCAAGTCCCATGTCACTTTTTTATCTGTGTACAAGTTACTCATTTCAATTTATCTGTTTGAGATCAGTCACAGATCAAGCATAAAAAAAATACTTACTTTGCTGGATTCAAGGGCCATTGGAGCATTTCCTAAAACAAGATATGTGTAAGTGCAACTCGATCTGTCAATTAACCTGACAGAAAGAACTGAAAAGGTTACTTGGAATTTTTAAAGAACATAAGCAAGAAATTCGAAGCCTAATTATAACATTATATATAAGGCAGATCTTGCTCTAAAACATAACAAATATCAGAACATTGCAGCTTGCAACTATCTGTAGCCAAATCCCTGTAACGTAAAACTAAATAGCAGTCTAGGAGTGTTTCTTGCAACCACCTGAGCTGAAGTCATCGTAAGTGAGCATAATCAAGAGATTAGAGGGTTGGATAAGGACCAATGTCTAACACAAATCAGTGGTGCGGCACTGCCACCACCAAACCCAATCTGCTGAACATTAGAGGGAATCACCAATAAAAAAGTTCAGGAGCAAGAATTGGAATCGAATTACCAGCCTGATCCATTGTATGAACCACGATATGTTATGATGTTGTTACTGATGCAGCAAAGCAAGATTATAGGGAGTGCGAGACACGTCGGCCTCGGGCGCTCCGGAGACCAGTGACGGCCTGAATGGTTTGTGGAGCACCATCGTCGGCGAGTCGCGGGTGAGGAAGAGCCGACGGCGGGGCAGATGCCACTGGTGGTCGCAGGGAGGCAGAGAGGCCGACGGCGCTCCGCTGTTTTTGTGGATCAGGATTCAGGAGCAGATGGGGACCGCGATAATAGGGAGGATATACGCAGGGCAACCGTCAGTGGTGGAGAAGCAGCAGCGGACGACGTCGTCTCGACTCGGGATCGGCAGCGCCCGCGCCCGTGCCGACGCCTGCAACGACGACGATGCATGGTGCTTGAGGCGGTGGATTGAACGGCGCGGTGTCAATCTGGCTGCGGAGGGGGCGAGGAGGCAACGCCGTCTCGACTGGGGAGGGAGGCGGTGTGGTGGATGCAGGCGAGCAGGGGCGACGGGGCGGCTGCGACGATGGGGAGGGGTGCGGCATGGAGGAGAAAGGGATGGGAGTGCCGGGGAGGACGGCAGCGACGGTGAGGAAGGAGGAAAGAGGGAGAGAACGGATCGGGGATGCGGGCGGTTGAGGGGGTTGCGGCGGCGTGGATCGGGGGGTTGAGGGTAGGGGAGAGGAGAGAGCGATCGAGATTCGAGGGAGACGCGTGCGCTGGATGCGTAGGAAGAGAAAGGCGATCTGAGCCGTTCGATTAGGCTATCCCACGTTCTATATTTCGCGTGTTTGGAGTCACCGCCACCACTACGGAACTTTTAAGTAGTAGAGATATCCCCAAAATGAAAAGAAAAAATGACTCCACAACTAATTGGGCCGGAATCACACGGAGCTTTGGGACCAAGATAAGGAAAAAGTACGCCGAAGGTCCCTCAACTTGTCATCGAGTTACAAAATTGTTCTCCAACCGTAAAACCAGATATTTGACGTCCCTCAACTTACAAGGTCGTACGCTTTAGGTCCTTTAGTGGTTTTGACCTCGGTTTTATCCGACGTAGTGGCTAAGTCAACGTGAGACCTGCAACGTCATTATCTCTTTTCCCCACTTCTCTCCCTTCCTCCTCCCTCTCTCACTTCTCTGTGCGGCGGGTGGGGAGGAGGCTGGCGGGGCGAGGCGGGAGAGGAGGAGGGCGTCGGTGGCTGGCGACGGCCAACGCGACAGTGGTGTCAGTGGCCAAATCTGCGCTTCTTGGCTGCCGCCGTCGCCGCACGCCCTAGTCCGCTTCACTAGCGGCTTCTCGGTGGTCTGCAAGGGTGGCGCCCGACAGCTGCGATGGCAGCGACGCGTTCAACAAAGCCACGACCAGCAACAACAAGAAACGGCAGCAACAAGAACAAGAAAGGAAAATCAAACTTTTTTCTTTCCCCTAGTACTGTTCTCGATTCATTGAGGCTTCGAAGGCGCACACAGAGAAATCCACACAGAAAGCCACAAGAACTTTCCAAATAAGATCAAAACTTACAATCAGTTGATTAGTTCTTGTAATCAAGAAGAGGAACGAGTCAATTAGAAAATCCAAACAATCACTAGTGGAGAAATCGTTTTTAGTCCCGGTTCGTAACCCCCCTATAGTCCCGGTTTTCAAACCGGGACTATGAATCCGGGACTAAAGATAGGCCCGGGACTAAAGATCCCTATCTTTAGTCCCGGTTCAAATACCCAGGACTAAAGATCGATCTTTAGTCCCGGTACTAAAGATGGGAGTGGGCAATAGTTTTTTTTTCATTTACTTACTATTTAATCTCTAATTTATTTTCTCCCAAATTAGGTGGGATGCGTACCATCCCAAATACACAAATCAATCATATACACTACAGATTATACATCCGAAATCAAACCCCAAATCAAAGAAACATCCCAAATATACAAATCATACACAAATCATGTACATCTCAGATCCATACAATGAGATTCCAAAAAAAAATTATACATCTCAATCCATACAATGAACCACAGATTCTTCATCTCAATCTACACATGGATCACAAATTCTTTGAAAAAAAAAAGAAAAAAAAACGAAGCAAAGCCGCCGGCCGGCTGAGCCGGCCGCCGCCTCCCCTCCTCCCCGGCTGCCGCCGCCGCCACGCGGCCCTCCGCGCCGGCCGCCGCCGCGCTGCCCTCCGCCGGCCGGGCCGCCCACCCCCTCCTGCTGCGCACACTGGATCGAGTTGGGAAGGGGAGTTGGGAAGGATAAGAAGAAAAAGAGATAAGGAGGAAGGGAAGAGATAAGATTAGAGATGGAGGGAGAGAGGAGTGGGTGTGGATGAGAAAAGAGTGGACGAAAAAAGAGGATAAGTAATAGGGATTATATAGTGTATTTTGATCTTTAATCCCGGTTCGTAACTCCAACCGCGACTAAAGATCCTGGAGGGGCCTGACAACACCTGACAGCATGTGAACCGGGACTAAAGATCATCGGTAACACCAACCTGGACTAAAGATCACGTAGTCTCGTTCTACTTATAAACCGGGACTAAAAACCATCTTTAGTCCCGGTTTTTACTGCATCCGAGACTATTGTGGTTTTTGGTCGACCGGACAATGATGGTTTCTCCACTAGTGAATGAAGATGAGCGAATGGGTATAAGAGACTGGGAAATTTAACTATTTGCCACTATTAGATTTGGCAATTATCAAAATGCCCTTCTTATATTTGTACATACTTTTTTCCCTCTTAAGTGGTGGTTCCTTAACTATTCGTTACTTTTGCCCACGTGGCATGCCAACATGGCATATAGGTCTAAACGGGCTCCAACTCGCTCCATGTGCTGACATGGCATGACACCTAAAACAAATTCGGAGACCTAAATATGTATTTTGGGAGTTCAAGAACCTGGATGATACACTCGCACAAGTTTAAAGAATACCGTGTACATCACTCAAAATATAAATTGTCGTCCTCCTCTCCCAATCGTACTTCCCCACACAAAAATCAAACTGTTTCAAAACCAACCTAAACTATAAAAAGAACCATTATTCCGACGAGAAGATTTGATAGACAAGTCGTTCGTATTGCTCTAAATCACATTGCCACGCATGGACACGTTGGTACTAAGGATAAAGATAAGGGAAAATGTACGAATTACCCCCCCAACCCTCCGAACTATCACGTTCGACCGAATTACCCCCTCGACCCAACCCAGAGCGGTTTTGTCCTACGTGGCAATCCGGTCAGCATTTTATTTTTTAAAAAATGGTGGGACCCACATGTCATACCCCCTCTTTCTCTCTTCCTCTATCTATCTCTCTCTCAGTCAGTCACTGGCAGCGGCGCGCACGCCGGCACGCATGGCATGGCACGGGGACGAGCGGTGGGCACCGGCGCGCGGGGGCGAGCCGGCGGTCGAAGTGCACGGCGGCACGCGGGGAGGGAGAGGTCGGTGCGCACGACGGCCATGGCGGAGAGGCGGGCAACAGCCGGAAGTGTCAGCGAAGGGAGGTAGAGGGAATGGGGGTGAGTGGAGGTGGATGGGGAGGTGGAGGAAATGCAGGGAGTAGGCCGGCAGTCGGCGCACACAGCGGCGGCCATGGTGGAGAGGCGGGCGGCGGCGCTCGCCATTGTGGCGCTGGCGGAGAGGCGAAGGTCCGCGAGGAGGCAGCCACGCGACGGCCTCCGCCTCCATCGCCGACCTTTCGGTCCGTCTCCGTCTCCGCGAGCTCTGCCTCAGCCGACCGCCCGGGCGAGCTCCGCTTCCGCCACCTCCGCCTGGTCCGTCCCTACTCGGTGACTCCGACTCGGAGCAGGATGGAGAAGAGGACCGCCGTCCACGCTGACCGCCCTCCCCCGTCCCCACGCCGGCATGCGCGCGGCGCGCCATCTCGCGTCGACCAGAGATCCGCTGGCGAGCGGCAAGAGAAGAGGCGCCGGTGGAGATCCGCCATGCTCACCGCCCGTAGTGGCCTTCCGGCCGTCGCCCCCTGTGCCCCCGCCATCGCCGCCGGCCGCTGCGCCCCCGTCACGCCCGCCGCACGCCACACCCATTGCTGCCGTATGCAAGAGAGAGGAAAAGAGGAAGAGGAGTATGACATGTGGATCCCACATTTTTTTAATAAATAAAATGCTGACTGGATTGCCACGTGTACGCCACGTAGGACAAAACCACTCTGGATTGAGTCGAGGGAGGTAATTTGTCCGATATTGAAAGTTGAAGGTGAACGATGTTTGGTTTTCGGGTTAGGGGGTAATTTGGTTGACCACGATAGTTCGGGAGGGGGGTAATTCGTATTTTTTCCAAAGATAATACACCTATATGTTTCCATTAGCCCAATTTCCTAGTGATCAAACCCATTGTACATTTGTACGTTAAGTCTATTGTGTGATTTAATTTTCACGTTCCTCTCAGAACAAATAAACAAGATCAACAAGATGAGAAACATTTCTTTCTCAGATCACTTCAGCTCTTTTCTCACAGAAAATTGCAAATCAAACATAAAACTAATGCGCTCAAGAAAGGCCATTAAGTGCTTCTTGCCGCGATGGTGCAAACTCTATGGTAAGCGCTGGAGCCACCATGTATCATATCCTATTTTGTAACATATCCTATTTTATTATAAAGTTGACGTGTACTGACTACTAAAGTTTAATATGCATGTGCGCCACATCATCATGCACTAGCAATTATTATCTAGAGTATTTTAAATATCATGTAAATATGACATATCATTTTATAATTTTGTTGTATCTTTTAAACTCAGTATGCAAGCAATGTCAAATCATTATGTTCACATCGTTTTTACATTATTTAAACATATAAATCTATCATTTTTATAAGGAAAAAGTACGGATTACCCCCCACCCGAACTATCGCGGTCGACCGAATTACCCCCTAAACCACAAATCCGGACATTCCTGACTCCCAACTATGTAAACCGGACGAATTACCCCCTTGACTCAATCCGCGGTGGTTTTGGTTTACGTGGCATACGCGTGGCAGTTCAGTCAGCATTTTATTGATTAAAAAAATGTAGGACCCACTCTCTTCTCTCTCTCACTCTCTGTCTTCTCTCTCACTCTTCCTCTCTCTCACGCGCATAGCGGCGAGGACGGCAGCACGCACGGCGCGGCGGCGCGCACGCACGCGGCCGGGGGCCGGAGGCGGCAGCGAGGACGGTGGTTTGCCCCGCGCGCTCCATCGACCTCCCTCCGCCCCGCGCGCTCCGTCGACCTCCCTGGCTACCTCGATCTCCGGGCTGTGCTTTCCCTTCCTTCCTTTCACCTTCCCCTCCATTGGATCGGTGCTGTCGCCGCAGGAGCTCACCATCACATGGCCCGACGACTGACAACTCCACCTCTGGGAAGGCGATGTCCTCTCAGCCGTGCTCCCCGCAGATTGGTCTGCTCGGCTCGGCATCGCTGGCTCGTTTTACTGGTGACGCACGCCTAGTGTTCGATGTAATGTCTCAGTGAGGTGGCCTGACTGCTTGCATGATCGTTTTTTCATGTTGTTGGGCAGCGCGATGCATATTGGGAGGCCATGATGCCCAACCTGAAGCCACCGGTGACCACGACGGCACGAGCTTTGGAGTACAGGGAGGAGATCCTCAGAGCGCTGCGCCGCTGCCTCCGGGCCTGTCCGCATGCGTGTGTGCCGCCGCGCCATGCGTGCCGCCGTGCGTGTCTCGGCCACACCGCCGTCCTCGCCGCCAC